ATTCCTTCCGCGGGAATTCGGTGTTGCTTCATTAATACCGTCGCCCGCCCTTCGAAAAAAAAAAAGGAATTTTATTAAGGTGCGACTATTCGGTTCATTATTTCGAGAAGAGCCGCGACGCTTCGTTATGTAAATTGTATTACCGTTAATTTTACGTAATTGATCTAAATTCGAGACGCGATGGAAAGGTGTGCAATTGATGACAGATATTCCGACCTTTCATTTTTATACCACCAAGATAATGACTTGACCTCATATCATCAGTTATTAATTACTTATTACATTAATTTAATGCTAGTTTCACTAGTAAAGCTTAACAATTGATGACTGTTTGCTCCACCTTTTATTTATATACAAAACCACGTTAATTACTTGACCTCAATTCACTAGTTATTAATTAATTAAGATATAAATACAACATTAATTACACTTAAAAAAAATGTCCTGTTTAAAAATATATAATTTGTACAAAAGATTTTCTTTTTCCAAGCGAAATTAATATTTATATGTTAATTAATAAATTTGGGCTAAAACTGAAGTTTACAATAATTCTTATTTTCTATATAAATATTCAATACATCAGTTTGGGGACCGAAATTCTTTAGCGATACTTTTCTTGTTTTCTATTTTCTAAGTTCGGGAACCGAACTATACAATTAGTTATATAAATATTAAAGTTTAAGAATTATGATTTTCCAATTATATTTGTGAAAGTGTTTCTTCTGTAAGGAAGACAATAAAATAATTGTTTGATTAAAAACGGCGAAGATCAAAGGAAATATGTGTATTGTACATTCGATACCCGTGGAGCTTTTATAATGATTTTTATACATTTTCGTTTGGGCCTCGCCTTTAGTAGTTACGTGTAATTTGACAACATTAAAAAAACTGTGCGTTCGTATAGCAAAAAAAAGTAAAGAAATGCCAACCATTATACGAACATTTCGTGCGGAGAACGTTGCAGCTTCATATCTTTTACGGCCCAGGTTTCTATTGTCGCAATAAAATTTTCCTCCTCCAGCCTCCACTTAAATGCATAGACGCAGCGAACACAATCAAAATAATCGTAATGACCATCGTAATAATAAAAGCAAGCAGATTGATAACGCGAATCCCGTAACGTTTCTTTTGTTCTTTCAACTAAAATAAAACTAAAATAATGGCTTTTGCGTTGCTTCGACGAAACGTGAAAAGGCTGAGCAACAGTTGTGTGTGTGTATGTATATGAATGTGTGTGTTCGTTTGTGTGGGTTTTAGAAAGTACATGAATTAAGACCAGATGGAATTTGGTTAAGTATGGAGATTAGTTTTGAAATTTCCACGCGAGTGAGCGAATTGAAGAAACCCTAACGAGATTCCATCTATGCAACTGTGCGGGAATTTCTTTAATACTTCGATGTTACAGATTCGTAATTAAGCAAATTGGTGGAAACGCGTGTTCCATTAGACAAGAGTATAAAGTTTGTTTTTTCTTGCGAATTTGTGTAAATTTTTGAAAGGGGGGAAATGGAACTTATTGTAATTGTTGCCGGGTCTCAAAGGATCGGTGTTACAGTTTACTTTTCATTGACAAAAAGTGCGACGATAAATAAAAACACAGGAGAAGCAGAAGAGAGTTGAGAAAGTTTATTTTTCTCTCTCTTTGAAACAACAACAAGAAAGAAGAAAAAAATGAAAGGGAGAAGGAAAAAGCTATTAAAAACAAGACGCCTCCTGATACCCCCAAGAAAGAAAAAAAATATATATAGAAGAAACACGGAGAAAACTTGCGGAAGATTGCAAGGAATTTTACGGAATTTGGGGAGCGTTTCTTTCATTCCTTTGCGGCCGCATCAAAAAACAATTTAATTTATATGGCACTTAGAGGCGACTCGGATCGACCGAGCTTTTCTCCGACGAAGAAAATCATTAAGCAGTGCTCTTATTTATATCTACTTTACTTTAAAGTTTCTTCTTTTTTTTTCGGGGAAAGGAAAACCTTTTAAATAAGTTCGGAACGGAAGTTTCGCAACACGTGTCAATTCCGATTAATCCCACCTCCTGTTCATCACTTTGTTCTTTTCATTTATTTTATATATTTTTTTTTTCGTCATCCCTTTTCCACGTGTTTTTATTTTCCGCTTGGATCGGTGCCAATTCGATGTTGCATGACCGTGGAAATACATTTTAATTAAATCTACCTCATTTGACGGATAGGATAATCATTTTGGGTACCAAAAATTAATCGCAATTAATTTTGTAAAGCTCGTCCCCAATCGCGATTAAATTTAATTTAAATTATCGAGTATTTTCCTACGGACGCTTAATATCAAATTTCCGCTATTTAGTTTGTACATCAAATGCTACGCGCATTATTGTACACATCACTTCATTCAAATTAAGCATATATTTATATATTTAACAAAATATTAGCATTTAAAAGTCATTAAAATCTGTATTTAAATTTTATTTTTTTCTATATTTTTAAGCAGTGTTCATTCCTTCTATTGCAGGTTAATTCAATAATTAACCATAATAAAAAATTAAAATTGTACAACAAAACATTGTTTTCTTTTCGCTAATAAAACTTCTTAACTCTTTGAGGGGCCAGAAATTCCTAAATTTCTAGATTGCTAAGTTGACTGAAACAACATCGGATGGTATGGCCTATCAAGATACATCCTATGAAATATCAAACAAATTCAAGGATAATTTCTCTTCCCTGGACATTTTCATTTTCCTAGGAATGTTCAAAAAATGGAGCAATAAAGGTCTGCAGCGCTTACAGAACAAACTCTCGAGATGCAGTTCAAATAATTGTTGGCATGCTACCAATCGAACTCCTAGCCAGAGAGATATGCTAGAGTCAGAGATGAGTGAGTAAGGAAACTGCCAGGACCAGACTGCTGGAAAAGTGGCAGGAAAAATGAGAGAGGTCAGAGAAGGCAGTCTGAATTAGACGCTTAATCACATTCCATCTGAGCCCAACGCTTTCCGGGCACGGGTGTTTCAGCAAGTACCTGCGCTTCATAGCAAGGAAGGAGGACGAAAAGTGCTAGTACTGCGAAGAAGTCGATAGCCTAGAACACACGATCTTTGATTGCTGTAGATGGGCGACGATGAAGCACGAGGCGGAATCAAATCTCAGAGCAGTGCTAGAACCAGAGACGTTCGTTAGGGTTGGATGCTAAAGAGCCAAGAGAAGTGGGACATCATCACAAGCTACGTAGCAGGAAAATGATGAGCGGAGGATGGAGAGAGAAAGGGAAGAAAGTGATACACATAGAAGCACAAAACTTGGCTCAGACAATCTACATTGCAGGGAGATATGAAAACACCAGACCTGGATGCCGATGAAGAAGGGTAGAGGTTTTAGTGCGGTAAGAATCGCACAGTACCACGACTCCACCAATAGTCCCTATATAAGGTTTCCTCTTCTTTACAAAAAAAGGCATGTTCAAAAGGTGGGACAATGCCCCTTAAAGAGTTAAAAGTTATCAAATTTAATTAAACAATTTTCAAAAAGAACTTAATACTAATATAAATATCTCACAGTGTGGGTAATCAGTTCCGTTAATATCCCGGACTAATTGAGGAACCGTAGAAAAGGAGACTAGTCAGTACAAAGTGAATAAAGAAAAACAACCTAAATACTATTGTGTATTATTTTTTAGAATCTATGCTTATTTTACTCAATTAATATTTAATTTGTTTTGAAATTGGTGAATCCTGACTGATCGAATCGATATATTGTAATGAATAATTGAATGTAAAATATGAATAGAAATTAAATCTTCTATGGTTGATGATATGATGACATATGTGATGTAAATATGTTTGCATTCCTAATTGATCATTACAGAATTTTATTGCATTTATTTATTAGAAATCACACTCCAAATCGAGTATCCGCCTACGTTTGTGCTGTTTAATAGATTAAATATACTTGTATATGAAATGTCAACAGTTAAATGATTTGACGTACTGAACTTCTTAGAAAGTAATGTTGTCATGGCAGTATTTATTTTTAGTTTCTGATCGGGTCGTGAAATGTTATCAAAATATTAAAAACTTTTTCTTTACTTTTTGTGCTGTGATCATGATTGATATCTTCATATGAAACACATTATGATGCTGTTATTTGAAGCTTATCAATCTTTGCGCAAATGATGATATGTGACAACTTATAATGACAGTTTCAAAATGATCAATTGATAAATCAATTCAATGTATTTCGAAATTGAAAGCTATAGTAAGTCTTTTAAAACCTTTTTAGATAACGTGCATAAGTTGTACTATTGTTTGGCTGGCAAGCTTTGGAACAATTGCAGTACCTCATCAAAAGAGCCGCATGTGGCTCCGCAACCAGTGGTTTAGTACAATAAAAGTTTCTTCTATTTTTCTTATAGCTATAGACGTTTTAATATATTTTTATACATAATGTAATATTGACAATGACTATTTTTTAGATAATTGTGTAAATCAAAGGTAATATACAAACTGTTTATTTGATAAAGTTTGTAACTAAATGATGAAAATACTGGGCACAGAAGATTTTCCACGTGATCAAACTATTTCCCTTTAAGCAATTCGTTTAGTATGGAAATTCATGAGATTCAGCATCAAAGAGAAGCTGCAGATCAAATGTAGAACGCAATACATAATAGATGAAAATTGTGTTTTCTCTCCACCATTTGAAATTAAAATATTGAAAAAAAAATACCCTATGTTTGTTAGCTAATGAGTATTAATTTAAATACTGCGAATTCTCAGACGCTTTGAACTCTCTCCGCTTTAAAATCGATTAAAGACACTTCAATATTGAATCACGCGCTATTTGCTATTGGTTTGTGGATACAATCCCCGTGTTCTGATGGACTCAAAAAGCATCCAGGATTTGCTCCATTCCCAATATGAATCATTAATAACAGCTAATGCATCCTGACGGTCACTGTTTATTGAAAGGATTGAAATAAAATAAAAATGAAGTACTAATATTTATTTTGTATTTTTCTTTGCAGGATTGAGTTGAGGGCAGATGAGGAGGTTCACCTTCGCTACGAATACCGTCATCGACGTGATGGACTCCAAAGCAAACATCAAACTCACCGAACGAAAGGTAATACCAAAGCGGAACAAAGCATTTAAACACCTGAAACGTCTTCAGCGTTAAAATGTACAGGTTAAGTGGATTTTCTTAATCCCACATCTCCTCTTCGTCTCGGCTGTGTTTACACAGCGAAAGCATTTGTATGTCAAGGATTATCGGCGATTCAACTAAGTTTATTTTTAAACGATTTTTCTTGCTGCAATTGCTCAATTTCCGATTTGTTACAAATCCACTCATTAAATTCATTCATTTGCAATTCTTCTATTTTTTATACAATTGTTCTACTTTTTGTATGTAACTGTAGATGCACGATATTCGCATAACTTTTCCGGACGACGAAGAATAAAAATAGGTTTTAGCGTTTGCGTTTGAAATACGAACCTAACAAATGTTGAACCGTTTCCATGAAACTGTCATTTCCGTACTGCGTAATATACCGAGCTGAAATGAATGTTGAGAAAAATAAAACTGAAGGAGCGAGAAATTTTATGTCGCGAGGAAAATTTTACAGTGCGCTTCCTTCCTTCACCCACTTTATTTCAAGCTCTTTGATTTTCAACAAAACGCATTCAATGAATCATTCATTAAAATTGAATGCAATACGAAATGAACATACACACGAATAATCTTATTTAATGACTCAAAAATGATGTTTTTGTTAGTTTACTAATTGCACGTTCGCCTTGAGATTCTCGGCGCATACAGAATCCTACTTTCGATGTCCGCTGAGGTTACACAACAGGTTAATTTATTTTACAAATGTCTGAAAACGCAGTATTTCCTTTGGTATAGTTAATTTGATTATATAATTGCGCAATTTGGAAATACCCATTTAATTGATGATTAAGTGATCGTTTATAATTTATCAATTGAAACTATGTAATCTTTGTGGAAATATAATAAAAATCGATATGAATTGACTTTTTTATTTTGCTTACATAACAGCGTGTTTCCAATAAAAATTACTCATGTAATTAATGATAGATTCTTTGTTTCTCGTATATAATTTATTAATTCGCAACGTACACTTACAATACATGATATGTTCGGTAATGTTATTGTTTTATTAATAATCAAATGGAAACAATGGAATTACATAAAGCTTATGGAATTATGAAAGTAGCGATGGAACAATTATATTTCTATTGAAATATCTGAAAAGGCAATATTCTGTAATACATTTTATTTAGTTACATAACAGTGTACAACAATACCTCGCATAGTGCGGGTAATCAGTTTCGCCAATATCTCGAACTCTTTGAAACCGGACTAATCGAAGAACTAAAGTGATTGTGTAAAGAAAAAAAAAAAAAAAAATATTTTATGTACTTTTTTTTAAGAATTATTTTCATTTTGTTCAATTTATTTTGTAATATTCAAACCGGACTATAATGAATCAGCACTATGCGAGGTATTGCTATATTTCCAATGGAAATTATGGATACACTGTTATTCTTATATAATTTACTATAACTTAAAAGCATCTGTTTACAATAGATGAAAGGATATGTTGGTTAATGTTATTGTGTTTTTTTTTAATTTTAAATGGAAACAATTACGTAATGCTTATGGAAGTAGTGACAGAAATATAAATAACAATTAACTTTTTTATTGTAAATATCTGAAAACGCTATATTCTATCAGTTAAAAATTATCAGTATACAATGGATGTAAGTATAATTTTTAAATTTTCAATGAAAACAATGAGAATTGTTTAAAACTTATGAAAGCAGAAAATCAATAAAAAATATTTTTTTGTTCCTCTAGTTTTAAATATGGTTTGAAAATGTTGGGTGCTTGATTAAAACCCGAATTCCTATTTCTCACTTAATGAAATTCTGTAACGCTTTTTTTTTGTTTCGTTATATTCTTTTTTTTTAATATTCAATTGTGTTTTTATCTACACGTTATGAAAACTATTATAATCTTAGATTAAATTAATATAACAATTGTCTGTGAATAACATAAGACTATTAAATTTATACTTTCATAATTTCACAGGTATCGGGATACTTAATTGCTTGTTAATGCATTTCCTAGAAATCTGTTCGAGAGAAATGCGTGAGAATTGTACTTAGCAAAGCAATGTTTTCAAAATATTTTACGAAATGATAAATATTTTATTTTGCAATTAACCTACTTACAATAATTACATTTTTTATTATTTAGATAATTTTGTTATTATGGACTTAGTAGATTTTTTAATGAAGTTATTAAATTAACGTAGATTAATAAAATGTTGTCATGATTATTTTATATTTAATGTAAATATTATTGTTGTAACATATAAATATTATTTCTTAACTTCAAGAGACATTTAAAACTTTAGTATATAAATATGTACTTTTATCATTTATTTAATTGTAATTTTTTAAAATAAGATTTTTTCATAATATTTTGGTAATAATTAAAATTATATTTTATTTATAATTAGGAAGAATACTAAATTTTAGAAAGCTTTTTGAGTTATGATGATTTTTTTACGTTTGTATAAATTCTAGAATAAAGTTACATAATTTTTTATTTGTTTTTTCATGTATTATCTATTAATTTACATTTTTTTATGGCTTTAATTTGGTTTAAAACACTTTGTGTCTTTAAATTATAAATTGTATAACACTATTTTCTGAAAATTGGTGCCCAAATCCATTTGAAAAATATTCAAGGTCATACTTCAATTATTTCCACACCATTGGAACTTGAAAAGGAACATTTCGCTTAGAGTAAATAACAAAAAGATAAAAAAATGGGTCAATGCTTTTAGCATTTTTCCTATGCAAATGGAAACTGAAAAATGTATGGAAAATTGAGGTGAGAGCATGTTTTGCTTTTTGTTTGTTTGTTTATATTATTTGTGGGCTGTGATTTTTTTATGATTGTTTTACAATAATTTCATGCCATCAGAAAATCCATTACAGCAATGTTTTTTAATATGTATATTTGAAAGCATAATTTTAGTTGGAACCAATAGTGGTTATCGAGTCGTTGCACCTGGAAAATGGTAGAAATGTTCGAGTGGAACACATTATAGAGTGGCATCGATTGAGAGGGGAAAATCGTGATTGTAAAAGCAACAAAACAAAACACACATAATACGTGAAAAGGCTTTTCGGTAAATGGAAAATTGTCACGCAACTAACTGACAATTGATAATCACACAGGGTAATGGACTTTTGATTAGCGATTTGACAATGTCATAGAAAATGAGCATTTTCGTATAGTCATTGTATAATATGTACATTATATCATCCTTCATATTATGATAATTTTGGTTCTTGTATTTATATTATTTATTTATTTTAATCAGTTTTCTTACAACTTGTTATTTGTATCATTTATTTTGTTTGCACAAATTGAAAAAGTAAATTATGATTTGCTTCAAAGTACTTTATTATGTATGTTTGTTTTACTTTAATGTAATGTAATAATGCTATTTCATTTAATGTTTGTGCAAATTCCGGTTTAAGATTATGCTTGCTATTGCATTATTTATTTGTAATATTGTCCAATATCCTTAAAGGCATCTTGTTTAAAATACATCAATGTATTTTTTTTTTAATTTTTGCTGTTTGCGCAAATTCTTTATTTCTATATCCATTCTATATTTCTATAGAATATTTATACAAATCAATCAATGAACTTCTGAAACTACTTGGAAAATATATTATATTAATTATTCATATTTCATTTACAATGATTTTACAAGTTAAAAAGTTTCCTTTGCATTTTATATATAATACATAAATATAACTTTATTTATTTTATGGTATGCGCAAATCTGTACATAAATTATTTATTTGACTCATTCAGTTTGTCTTGTATTATTAAATATCATAGTGATTGTAATGCTGCTTTTTAATTTTATATATTTTTTATTGTTTGTGCAAATTGTAATATAAAATTATAACTTTCTTCATATAATGTATTATTTATTTTTCTTCTTTAATTAAATGTAATCTGGTTTGTAATGATTTTTTTGTATAAGTTTTGCTGTTTGCGCAAATTGTAATATAAAATTTTGCTTCGCAATGCGTTAATTTTTCGTTTGTCATATGTAAATTTATATTTTTTTTTGTTTTTTTTTTTTGTATAATGTGAACAAAAGCAATTTGCGCAAAGCATTTGGCTTCGTAATGAATGTGCATATAGGTGTATGCATGAGGCAAACCTGTCCAGTTAATAATTTCTGCCTTTGTTGCTGCTGTTGCTCATATTTTTGTTGAATTTATATCAAATTGTAGAATATACATACATTTGAAAATTCAATTCATTTCCCAATGTTATTTATATGTGCAAACACAGTGAGAGCGAGGGATGAAGAGAGGTGGCAGACAATTTGCATATATGCGGAGGGAAGCACACAGAGCTGGTTTACAGGGATGCCAACCAAACCTCCCCCGCTTTTGATAGAATCCCAAATTGTTTGTTGTTGGTCGTGGAATATCGAATTTGACGAGATGCCACGCAAATTAATTACGATTATTGCAGATGTAAACTGGAACAGTCGGCTTCTAGAGCACCCTCTAAGTACACGTCCATAAGGTAAATGAACCGTGGATATATTTAATTAAATCGAATCGCAAACGCAATTGTAGACTTGGTAATGGAAACGTTGTGAGAAATAATGAGGGTTTTCGGGAAGCGATATTCGACTACATAATTACCTCTCGACATGCTACACAATTCTCTCTCGTTTGCTTCCATTTCGTGCACTCCATATTATATACAACTCACTCTCTACGTCCTTCTCTTTCTCTCACTTTGTGTATTTTTTTTTCATTCATTGCCTCCACATGCGTGCTTTTTATTTTTGTTCTCTTTTATTTTTTTCGCTTACACTCTGCTTCATCATTATATTATTACCGCACTCCATACGGAGTCATTACACATCATGTCCTAGGGACTCGTTCGTTCTCCTGTTATTCTTCGTAATATCCGGAAACATTTTGTGGAATTGTGCTCATCTTCCCCATCTCATACACACTTGTTGTCAAGTAACAAAAGGGAAA